CGAAAAACAGGACAAATACAACCATTAGATGTGTTTGGTTTTCGAAAACGGAAAAATTTTGTTAGACATTTTTCAGATGTAGTAATTCTTTCCGGTAGCGATGTAAATTTGCATTTAAGAAATAACATCATCAAACTGCAGTCACTTGTTCACAATCAACTTTCTTCCCCACGTTATATTAATATATTTAAATATGCATGGTACAAAAGTGGCTACACAGAAAACGCACCCCCTGAGTTCATTAATCCAGTAACATTTGGTTTTGGAGATAATTCGGAACCACGATGTCACATTTGTGGCGATTTAGCTGTTATAACATGTTTGTGGTGCAAAAAACCTTTGTGTCTTAAACACTTCTTTGAAAAATATCATTATTGTAATGAATATATTCCATAATATGAAAGTGAAGAAACTGATAAGTGTATGACCTGCTTTTTCTTCCTGCTTTCATGAGTACTAGACATCTTAATAGCTCTAATACATGAATTAAAGGCTTCTAGTAAATAAAATGAAGACATCTATATTAAATAAAGTTTTATATAGAATGGAAAATTGAAAAATCATTGAATTTTGAGTCGAAACAATTAAGTTTATTATGACAAAATAGAGGAAAATGTATAAAATAACACGTTTTTTATGAAAATAAAATAAATAAACAATTTCTATATAATTTTCAACTACATATTATTGCAGAGCACTGAAAAACGAATAACTTTGCTTTTTTACCCTTTCGTTACGGCATTCCGCTCCGCTGGAATAACGCCACCAAACGGGGCACCGCGCCATCGGAGTAGCGCCACTGAACGGAGAGTTTCTCCGCAAACTGTGCATACTGTGAGTCGGGAAATTGGTGTTCGGACTTACGTCTTTCAACGTTACCGTGTCTTTTTCCAGATCATACTCTTCTTTACGTGTTACATAGTGACATGTTTATAGGTCTTGCAATTATTATTGTCCAGGGTTATCTTAATCAGCAAATCTAATTGGTTGACCCTCTAACAATAGTTTGCAATCTCACCTGTTACCTTATATATCATATTAAAGCTTGCGATTGGTTACTTGAAGACGTTAAAAAGCTTAAAAGACGTCATTTTGCTAAATAAATGTTTATATATTTTATAATCTTGTCAACAATTATAAAAAAAAAATACAATTTAGAGTAAATGATGTATCAAATTAAATTCTTAGTAATTTATTTCACAATGATAAATTTTAAAACAAGGATCTATGCACAAACCCACATTACAGTCGATCCCTAGCACGACAGAAATATACTTTTATTTCAACGTACTGGTTCGCGCTTTGAAGCTTCGCGAACACTGTTAGTTTGAAGAAGAGTGGAGCGTGATTGTTGTCCCGATTGCTTCGAACCCAGTGTATGTCTTATTTTTGGAATAAAACAAATGAAAACGAACTAAAGAGTGACAAGTGCTATCGATGTGATACGTGCATACGAATGAAAGAAATAAAAGTATCGCGGGGCTGTTGGGTGAGCGGTATCACGCTGGCGCTGGCTACAGCCGGCGCTCGTACACACAGGTCATCGAATGGATGCCGGCTATATCCGGCGCTCGTAACGAAAGGGTTAAACTTCTGCCGTATCTATTTTAGTTTCGAAGATATCAGTGAAAAACGAAAAAACCAGCGATTTTCAGGAATTAATTTCACCCCTTAAATATGCGAGTGGGCACCCCATTTTGTGTGAGGATTTATACTTTCATGTAAATTACAAAATATCATTATTTCAACCCAGGTTCCGGGGGTACACTAAGGTGACCTTCCTTGTAAGTCATTACCAGTCAGTTTTTGGAAAGTAAGTAAAGATATCCGAACACTACTTAGTAGAAAGATAAAAGAACATTAGGTATTACCTCTTCTTACAACTAAGGAATAACTTATGTTTAGAGTAATTCACCAGAGACAAGCTATAAATAGTTTTAATAATAAAAGCAAGATTAACCATGATCAGTAAAGATAATAACTCAGTTTTTTTATCAGATATTCGGGGGTACACTAAGGTGACCTTCCTTGTTAGTAGTGTCGATGCTTGCACTGCCTTTCCTTCATTAGTGTAATGTCTAAAAAAATGGCTGTAACCTTTAGCGCGAATTCTTTGAAATGCCTGTTGCAAAATGTTGTAAAACTACTAACTTAATATAGCTAGACTAAAATGACATAATGCAAACCGCCTATTGCGGGTCAAGAGTTGTAGAAATTGATGACATAAGGCACGTATAAACATACTGGGGGGATACAAAATTAATGTAAACTCGTAGACTTGAGATCCTGTAAGTACGCGATTTTATATTAAGAAATTTAGTTAACTCGCAAGTGGCCTAGATGACTATTTAGTGATATTTGCTTATTATTATCACACAATTACAGGAATCTTCAAACAAAAACAAAGATCTGGCTCTAAGGAAATATTACCATTCGCATTAATGTTACCAAAGGCAACTGAATGGTAACCCGTGGTAAATTAATAGAAATCTACTCATAACCATTATTTTACTATTAACAAAATTCCAAGGTCCATGCTATTTTCTCATACTCGTCTATACGATCTGAATAATAGATAGTTAAGAAATGCCAAAAATAATTTTTGCATTTACGTATGTTATGACATGCAAGATTCAAAATATAACACTAAGAGAAAAGTCGGATCTGCTACCGGAAAAGTAACGTTTATATCTACAAATCTAAGGTCTCTAAATAATAAAAACCATACAAAATGCTGTATAAATCAGTAAATGGCTGTTTAAACTACGTATTTTCAATGAACGTGTTTTCAAGCGAATTGGTTTTGCAAAAGTTTGGATTTCGGACAAACATTTTTATAATTTTATTGTTTAAACAATTTTTTAAAAACATTTTCTATTAATTCCAGTTCAACTGATAATGGAGTTTGTTGTCCATGTTTCTAATAAATGTCATGGCAATTACTCAATTATAATGTGTTGAAGCACTTCTGGAAATTTGAAGAACGTGATCTTGAGAAAAACGTGTTTAAAGTATTTTTATCGTTTTAATACACTTAATATAAAATCTCTTACTTACCGTTAATCAACTAATCTGGGGCTATAAAGGGTATTTCATTTTCGTCGATGACGTGTTGTCGTTCACTAACTTGCACTAATTTAGAGACACGAAGAGACTGCTAGATTCATAGTCGAAACATATCTGTTTTGACCTTTTATTTTACCGCGCACTGCGTCACTCGTAGAGCTCTGTAACTTCTACAAATTAACGAATTTTGAACAATTCTTGAGAGGCACATATTCTGAGCAAAAAATTCTTTCAGAAATTATAATTTGAAAAGCTATTTTTTGGACCCAACAAAGTAGCAGAGCCTCTCAATCCATTAACGCCCAGGTGTGCTTATTTTTAACTTTCAGTTCAGACGTTTATTATTTGATGGAAACGGATTAATTTAATTTCAGAAAATATCTATCCTACTATTTACAAGGTCGCTCTTTCCAATGGTACTGGCAAAATTAACTAAAAGTTGACACTTATATAAGTTTTTAACGAAATAAAAAAAAAAGTGAACTTGTAGGGCGTTCTCTTCTTCTAATTTGAAATTTTCTCAACGATAACGGGCTTTCGTTGTTCTGGAAAGTGTTCGAGAAGTATTCCTGAGACAAACACTAACAAAATATGAAGACTATTTTTTTAAATGCAACATGGCGTAACGAAAACGGCGGCCCATACGTCGAAATTTATTTAAATTGTAAATATGTCTGAATTATTCGTCTGCTAGAGTCTTATTTGTGGTGATATTTATGCAAAATCACTTCACTAATTATAAAATGGCAGACGATCTACTAAATATTTGGTAGTGATCTGAGATATTTAGATTTGTATCATCGATACTGACCTTGAATGACCTTGAACGGCTTTAACCCCTTAATTTTTTTTGTACGGCTTCAGGTGCTCGACAAGATGATTGAAAAAAATGTACCATTCTATTTAAAAAGTGAAGGTGACCTTCACTGTGCGTCAACGCCTCCACCGAATTAAAAAAATTGGTCGCATTTGATGGCCCCCTCCACACCATATAACTTTTGTTTGGAACATTTTTTTCTGACGTCGATACATACCGAGTTATTTCGGGTGACAGAGATAAAAGAAACACCCTGTATATTCAGAGTTTGTTAGTACAAACGCACCAGCTGAAGTTGGGCCCAAGTGGCGGACACGGCAGTGTAGTCTCTCGAAAAACATGACAGAAATGAAATGTTCGCATAGCAATAAGTTAATATTGAAATATTTCAACAGTTAGGTTACCGAAGTAATTAATGAATATTAATATTGTAAAGACAAAATGTAATATCAGATACCATTTATTTTTACAACAGATTGCAATAACTCTTAGAACAGTTTCAGTTATAAATCAATCACGGCGAACTGTGCCTGCCTGTCATTTCTCAGATACAGTCAGTAACTTTAATATTCGGACACTATGAGATTTTTACTCTAAAATTTTTACTCTAAAAGAGATTTTGTTTCTAATTAACAAAAAAAAATGATTAAGGATTATGATGACGTATACGCTTAATAAACAATAGCATAAATTTTATTTACATAACTTGCAACAGTTGTTGAATAATACGGTTTAAATACAAAATTGTCCGATTTTCACGTTACTTTAATATTCGGACACTATGAGATTTTTACTCTAAAATTTTTACTCTAAAAGAGATTTTGTTTCTAATTAACAAAAAAAAATGATTAAGGATTATGATGACGTATACGCTTAATAAACAATAGCATAAATTTTATTTACATAACTTGCAACAGTTGTTGAATAATACGGTTTAAATACAAAATTGTCCGATTTTCACGTTACTTTAATATTCGGACACTTTACAATGTGGCGCTTTTTCCAATATTCAAGCCGAGTTACGCCGAGTTAGTTTGTTTACAAATCTAGTCAAGCGTTCTAGTTTAAGCCTTATTTCATTAGTTATTTGTCGATCATCGTGCAATACACTTGTACAATGCCTTGCAAAGTGAACACGAGTTTTGATATACGGAAACTTGTAATATATCATAATGCCAAAGGAAAATCGTACAAAGAAATTGCTGCTCTCCTTAACATAAGCAAGAGTACAGTGGGAGATATAGTCAAGCGGTTCAAATGTGAGGATCGTATAGATTCTATACCCCAAAAAGACCAACCGAAGAAATTAGACGTTCGCGATGAGAGAAAATTGCTAAGAAAAATAAAGAAGGACCCTACGCTCAGTGCACCAAAATTAGCATCAGAGCTCTTAAACGAGACTGGAAAAAACGTGCATCCTCAAACGATCCGCAGAGCCTTAAAACATAGCGGCTACAAGAAACCGTACGTGAGTGAAAAGAATCGAAAAAAGAGACTGAATTATGCCAAAGAATTTATTTTGAAGGATGAAACATGGTGGAATGATATCATCTTTACTGACGAAAGTAAATTTAATATTTTTGGGTCAGATGGACGAAGGATGGTGTGGCGGAAAAAAAAGGAAGAGTTTAAATTTAAAAATCTTCGGTCGAGCGTAAAGAACGGAGATGGCAGTGTAATGGTCTGGGGCTGTATTTCAACTTTCGGACCGGGCGAATTAGTTTTCATCGAAAAGATTATGAACAAAAATTTGTACATGACCATATTAAAAAACAATTTACACAGAAGTGCTACAAAAATGGGGATTTTAAATAGGTTCAAGTTCTACCAGGATAATGACCCGAAACATAAGGCACGCATTGTGCAGGAATATTTGCTGTACAATTGCCCAAAAGTTTTGTAACCACCACCACAATCATCTGACCCTAACCCATTGAAAATATGTGGGATGAACTAGAGCGCCGAATTCGAAAAATATCAATATCTTCCAGAGAAATGTTAAAAAGTCGTTTAAAAGAAGAATGGAACAGTTTGAGTACTGAATATCTAAAAAAAATTATTAATAATATGCAGCAGCGTTTGCAAGAGGTGATAAAGCAGGATGGCTACCCAACAAAATATTAAAACAGGTATTGTAACAAAAACCAACTGAAAAATAAGTATGGTAAATTCTGAAAGTGTCCGAATATTAAAATTACTGACTGTATCTGAGAAATTACAGGCAGGCACAGTTCGCCGTGATTGATTTATAACTGAAACTGTCCTAAGAGTTATTGCAATCTATTGTAAAAATAAATGGTATCTGATATTACATTTTGTCTTTACAATATTAATATTCATTCATTACTTCGGTAACGTAACTATTGAAATATTTCAATATTAACTTATTGCTATGCAAGCATTTCATTTCTGTCATTTTTTTCGAGAGACTACACTGCCGTCTCCGCCACTTGGGACCAACTTCAGCTGGTGCGGTTGTACTGACTAACTCTGTATACATATAATGTGTATACATATATGTTACTGTGAAAGACCGAAATCTCGAGAATGTCGACATTCACCGGTGAATGCCACACCGGCGCTTGGTGTATGCTCGAAGTATTAGCTAAATATCCTTATTTCTGAGTTACACCGGTGAAAGTCGACATGCTCCAATTTCGGTGTTTCACGGTAACATATACACATATAAGACGCATGAAATGATCGCTGAAAAATAAATACAGGTCTTTTTTTGTCATGTCTCTGTTAATTTTTCATATTGCCGGTGACCATATTGTGTCCGCCATGTTAAATTTTTTAAAGTTTGTCTTGAATTATAGATGGGATATTTGGTAAAACGATTTTGTATAAATATTATTACAAATAAGACTCTAAAACACGAAAAATTAAGATATTCTTACAGCTTAAACAAATTTCAACATATAGGCCACCATTTTGAAGCCGCTATGTTGAATTTTCTTAACTGTCACCATATTTTTAAATGCAAGTCTCGGAAACATTTTTCGAACACTTTGTAGAATGACGAAAACCCATTGTCGTTGAAGCAATTTTAAATTATAAAAAAAATATCCCTAAAAATGCACGTTTTTTTTTCAATTTTGTTAAAAAATTATATAAATATCAGCCTTTAGTTAATTTTATCAACGCCATTAGAAAGAGCAACCTCGAAAATAATAGGAAAATAATATGAAACTTCTGACAAAATTCAACATGTTTGCCTTTTTTGTAACTATGATTAGTCGAGCATGGTACAACGGGAGTAGTTGTTGATCACGAGCAGGGAGAGGAAAGAAATTACAATAGACTCTCTATAGTTACCTGCTGTATAGTTGTTTGTTTTTATGAAATCCCCTCCACACAAATACGCACAACATACCAAACATTCCCCCTTTACAACGTTTAACGACAGGACATCCACTCCCGACTCTCACGTCTACAGCCTTCTCGTGCATGCGATTGGTTGGAAGGTCGGACTGTAAGTCATAGGAAAAGCAACTCTATCGTTCCTTGTTTCCAATAGTTTTCCAATTATAGAACACCGAAGTCGTGCAGCTATAGTAAATCTACTATAGTTGGAAATACGTAGGTTCAACTGTAAAGTATCTGATGTTTGTCACATTTCTGTCTACTATGCTTAACCCTATACATATAAAACAATGTTTACTTTTTGGAAGTTCATCTTTGCCTATTTTATACATATATGTACGTTAATGTTGGTAATCTTATATGTTCCGATGAAATGTATACCTATATTCGTTCTCAAGTAATTTAGTTTTAATATAGTTTTACAATTAAAATGAGAGACAATTATTTATTGAAAGTACGCACTTCAACTGCTATTTAATATATTTGAGCCAACAGTCGCCATATGTATCTCAAAAATTTGAAAACTACATGCAAATTTTAGACGTAAGTTTTGAATATCATATTGCAGAAAAGGAACTTTCCTACTGATTCGAATGCATTAATAGAAATAGCCACAAACTATGTTCCAGGAAACATATTTATCCACTTATATGTAATGTAACATGAAATATTTATTTGCACTTAGACCCTTACTCGTATCTTTCTTTCAGTGCAAAAATACGCCTTTTAATAATTAAAAGACAACAGTTAACATCGACCCCATTCATGTCTCTCTTTTAAGACACTTTTATAGAAAAATCTTTAAAAGACGCTATCAAAGGCGTATTTTAGTGGAATACCTACGCATATTTTCTTTCAAGCATCTTTCAAGATTGCCAGAGAGTGCTAGTTTCTTAAAAGCGGGTCAGGGCATTATTATACTACTATTACGCCGTCTGCCAAAATAGTGTCCATCGATGATATCGTTTACCTCGTGTACATTTGCGAAGTAAATGCAATGTGCTAGACTAATCCGAAAATTTTTTAAAATCAAAAATTATCCATTTGAGGTGTAAAATTATCGTAAAATTAGCAACAGGTGCCGGAGGTATAGGGCTTGCATGTCTTTTAACTGCTGAATTCGCATAAAGGATTAGTATCTCCAAAGGAGCACGTGATGATAGCCCATCTTGATGCTTTACCCATTTAAGCGAAATCCATTATGCTTTTCATTGTTGAACAATTTATGGTGCCTGGATGACTAATTAAATGGCAACATTAATTTTATTTAAATTTAGAAAATTTTTTTGTGCAGACAGCAACACTTTCATCATTATATTTTGATGACTACTCTAAAAGTATTCTCCATCTTAATGCCGATACACTTAAAATGACTGAGTTTATTAATGAAATTAATAATGGAATTAAATGATTTACAATTTAAATTCCATATTTGGCCCACATTACCTCGAAAAAATTATTTTCTCGTATTACAAAAATTAGCAGATATTGTGAAATAAGTAGCGGAAGAAGTGTGCATACGCATAGCACAGATCGCCATATTTTTTGCGACGGTGCCATGTTCATTATTCTAATAGCACATTTTTAACTAAAAGTGGTCTTAAAAGAAGGTATGAGTACGGCATCTTTTAACATCGATCTAATCGTCTTTTAACTAAAAGACACTCAAAAGCGATTATAAAAGAGAGATATGAGTAAGTGCCATAGCAGCATAGATCCGAATGGGTTTGCGAGGAAACAAGATTGCAGCGAGAAATTCTTTGCTTTGCTTACTGTAGAATAAATGCGAATTTACGCCTGAAGAGTAACTTTCGTGGTCCCTCAAACAGCCGCCGGCAGCGAATCTTACAAGTGAATTTTATACTTTTAAATTCCCAATTTCAAAGAGGTTTGACGTGTTTTGGACCATCTAATAGTGAATTATCTCCAACTCTTTAAATCATCATTTCTTAATTTACAAATAAAGAATTTGAAATCGCATAACTTCAGATAATGAAATTATGTAGGTCTTCACCCTTTTCACCAGATTTGTTGAGTATATTTCTGTTTACTTTAATTTGTTTATAATAATAGGCATAATAATGATCATTTTTATTGTGCTTATTATTATATTTTAAAATTTTTTATTACCAATGATAATTTTATTTTAATATTTTAACAAACAATTTGATTTATTACAAAGTTTCCGATAAGATATTAAGAAATTAAATGATAGTCCTCTAGTTTTATCATTTTTACGCATGCGTACATTATTTTTAATTGCACAATCACACTTTTTTCGATTTAGGTTTACATCACAATAAAATAAAACTTTATCGGAGATTGTGATCTTAATGTGATTGTGTTCTCCTTGTGTTGAAAATCTAAACTGAAAAACGTATGATCTTATAATTAAAAATAAAGTGTACAATAGTAAAAATTATACAACTATATGGCTATCATTTAATTTCTGATCTTCTCATCTAACATTCTCTACCAGATAAAATTATCTGTTAAAGTATTAAAACAAATTTATCGTTTATACTAAAATTTAAAAGGATATAGCAATAATGATGATCACAATAACTAATTATTATTGTTATGCTTCTTATTATTAATAATCTTACGTAAATGGAAATGTATTCAACAAATCTGGTAAAAAAAGGTGGTCAACGAGAGCTAATTTCATTTTCTGAGGTTATGCAACTTCAAATATTTTATTAACATTTAAGCAGAGGTGACTTGAATAGCTGGAGGAAGATCCACTATTGAATGATACAGAATGCGCCTACCAAATCTTTTTGAAATTGTAGGCTCTAAAGTGTCGATTAACTCATGGCGATCGATTAAAATCGGCACAAAAGGTATATTTGTATGTTTAACTTTTAACATTGTTAAATTTATTTGTTTTAAAATTTATTTTCTTCGGAAACACCACATACGCTCTCGCCATCTAAGCAAATAACTAACACGAATGACAAAGGTATCCTGCACTAACAGTTGATAAAAGATTAGAGTTCCGTTGGAGTTTATTGCAAGGACTGAACCACTCGTGTTACTTTTCAGGTGTATAATCCTAATGCTAGATAGACACATCGTACGAGACAGTAGAAACATGTCAGATTGGTACAAAAATTATACTAAAGATATATATATATATATATATAAAGGATATGCTATAAGAAAATATATGCATACAAAATAAATTATATATATATAA